ATAGAATAGAATAGAATAGAATAGAATAGAATAGAATAGAATAGAATAGAATAGAATAGAATAGAATAGAATAGAATAAATATAATCTCTAGTGCCATGCCCTCTTCTAAACCCAGCCTGCACATCTGGCAATTCTCTGTTGATGTGTTGCTCCAGACATTTCTGGATATTTTCAGCAGTATTTTTAATTGCATGTGATATTAATGATAATGTTCAATATCTGTTTGACAAAAAAATAAGTATTGCATAACAGATTAATCTAGAGGACACTATGCTGAGTAAAATAAGTCAGTTACTATAGAAAAAATACTATATTATAAAAAACTAATGAAAACTCTACACAGAAGTAATTATTCTAAGTAGTCTAAGTTAATAATGATAAATTACAACCTCTGAAGAAAAGTATTATTGCCAGGGAAAGTAGTATTTGGAAGTGAGGATTTGTTTTGATTTCACTTTTGCATCGCCTAGTAGCAAGAAGCTGCATTACAATCCCAAAGGCACACAGTTGAATACTCCAGCTGCTCCCTAGAAAGAAAGGTTATGCTTCTCGTGTGATTTACTGCCTCCTTAAATCCAGTCAGCTATGAGTTGGTCCCAATTCAACAGCGCACAATAACAACTATCAGCTATAAAAATCATTTCCAGGAGACTAAGTCATTTTCACATCAGTCTTCCCCAGAAGATGATGATTTTCCTCAAAGATAAAGATTGTGTCTTATTAATCTTAGATCCTCTAGCCTGGCTCACATTTGTAATCTTTACTTTTTTATTTTCCTCTGATTGAGTGAAAGAGAATACCTATTTGATAGAAGAGTCTCAAAGGGAAGTTTGTCTGGGGAAAAGAAGACATACTGAAAAGAGAGCTGAGAATTATTCAAGAAATTTTCTTATAACAATAACAGCTGGTGGGAAGAAAAGAATGAAGAATCATCTGGTCAAAGGAAAGATGTCATAGTGGTACTTTCTATTTACAATTACCGGGGCACTAAAGGTTAAGTTATCGAAGGAGTCTGATTTCTGTGTAGTGTTAATCAAGAATGTTATCTGTCTAAGGAAATTCCTTTTAAGGCTCATAACCCAAGAGAAAAAGAAACAAGTTTTTATAATTGCCAGTACAGCAGCGAGTAGTTTCTTAAGTCCATCTCGAGAAGCTGTGACAAGAGCAGGCTATGACACAGGGACTGGAAAAGGAGCTCCAGACATAGAAAGATCAGTTAAGTTGTTAAAAACAACAACA